TCTTTGTCCCTTTGTAGGCTCTGACTGAAACATCAGATAAGGCACATGTTAGTGAAGAATGTGATCAATCAAATCCAAAGAGGCATTGCAGGACAATGGACACAGGCAATATTGGCAGGAGAAGTTTGGCACATTGTCCCTACCTGTGTTGGCCTGCCACTAGAACTCAGTTTATATAGTACTGGTCGGATACATGCTGCAGTCAACGGTGAGTTTAATGGTTTCACCTCAACACATAGGAATTTCAGAGTTCTAATCCCTGGTCTAACATTAAATCCTGCTGTAGTCTTGGCACGTCACCTACCTTCTTTGTCTCAGGTTCCTGATTTCTAATATGGAGGTAGTAATACATCATTACGTCATATGTGGTGTGAGAATTAATTAGCTGGGATATAAATGCTGCCCTTAGGCCTTGGCTATACTTTGGGGGTTACAGCGCTGTAAAGCCTCCCCCAGCACTGTAACTCACTCCCCGTCCACACTGGCAAGGCATTTGCAGCGCTGTATCTCCGTGGTTGCAGTGCTGCATGTACTCCACCTCTCTGAGAGGAATAGAGAGTATTGCGCTGCCGCTGCAGCGCTGCGGCGCCAGTGTGGCTGCCCAATGCGCTGTGAATGGCCTCCAGAATTATTCGGCAGTATCCCACAATGCCTGTTCTAGCCACTCTGGTCATCAGTTCAAACTCTACTGCCCTGGCCTCAGGTAACCAACCATGTGACCCACCCTTTACATTCCCCGGGAATTTTAAAAATCTCCTTCCTGTTTGCTCAGCCCAGCGTGGTGTGGAGTGCTATCAGCGAATCTTTCCAGGTGACCATGCCTCCACGCGCCAAGCGAGCCCCAGCATGGAGCAATGGCGAGTTGCTGGACCTCATCAGTGTTTGGGGGGAGGAAGCTGTACAGTCCCAGCTGCGCTCCAGCCGGAATTACGATACCTTTGGGAAGTATCAAAGGACATGATGGAAAGGGGCCATGACCGGGACGCCCTGCAGTGCAGGATTAAAGTGAAGGAGCTGCGGAGTGCCTAGCGCAAAGCCCGTGACGCAAACGGCCACTAGGGTGCTCCCCCCGCGACCTGCCGATTCTACAAAGAGCTGGATGCAATACTTGGGGTTAACCCCACCTCCACTCTGAGCACCACCATGGACACTTCAGAGCCGGTGGGCGGGGGGAGGAGGAAGAGGAGGAGGAGGAGGAGGAAAACGGGAGTAATAGTGGTGGGCCAGATGGAGACACCCCGTAATCCCTGGAGCCATGCAGCCAGGAGCTCTTCTCGAGCCAGGAGGAAGGTAGCCAGTCGCAGCGGCCGGTACTTGGTGGAGGACAAACAGAAGAGCAGGTTCCCGGTAAGGGTTTTCTTTTTTCGGGAAGGAATTTTTTCGGTGCGGGCTCTTTGGAAGAGGAGAGTTAGGCATGCATGCCTAGATGCGGAATAGTGCATTGATGTGGTTTATCACATCGCGGTAATCGGCCTCGGTAATCTCCTCGAATATCTCATCCAGAACGTGTGCAATGCGCTTGCGCAGGTTTATCGGGAGAGCCACCGTGGTCCTTGTCCCAGCCAGGCTAACGTGTCCGTGCCACTGTGCTGCGAGGGGCGGGGGGACCATTGCTGCACACAGGCAAATTGCATATGGGCCAGGGCGGAAGCCGCATTGCAGTAGAAGACCCTCCCTTGCTTCCCAGGTCACCCTCAGCAGCAAGATATCATCCAGGACGAACTCCTGTGGAAAATGTTTGGACAGTGTTCAGTGTAGGTGCCCCCTGAAGCTGTTGGCTCTCCCCAAGGCACAGAAACCCAGAGGACAGTGCAGCCCTGAAACAATCAGTCCCCCTTACTCACCATTTTGAGGCTCCCGTGGGATATGTGTGCTCTGTTTCGGACGGGAAAATTATGCTATTGTGTAGACCCTGTGTGTTTTCTACTCCTTAAGTGCGGGGGGAATCATTACTCTGTCTGGTATAAACAATGCTGCCTCTGTTAAATGTTGCATTTTGCCTATACAGCTGCATCAACCTTGAGACCTCAGCCGTCCCTCTTATCACCTGCTCAGAGACTGCAAAGACTCAGGCCTGGTCTACACTACGACTTTAATTCGGATTTAGCTGCGTTAATCCGAATTAACCCTTCACCCGTCCACACTACAGAGCCAGTTAATTCGAATTAAAGGGCACTTAAAATCGATTTCTGTACTCCACCTCAACGAGCGGAGTAGTGCCTAAATCGATTTTGTTAATTCGAATTAGGGTTAGTGTGGCCGCACACCACCGAATTACTGTGGTTAAAGTAATGGGGTAGTGTGGCCGCACACCACCGAATTAATGTGGTTAAAAACCGAATTAATGTGCTTAGTGTGGCCGCGCACAATCGAATTTATACAACCTGTTTCCCAAATTCGAATTATCTAAATTCGGATTAATCCTGTAGTGTAGACATACCCTCAGGAAGAGACCGCGAAAAAGCAAAGAAGACATGCTGCAAGAAGTGATGCGGCAATCTATTAAAGAGAATGAGAAAGCACAGAACTGGAGGGAGAGAGAAAGCAGGATCCGGCTGGAAAATGCAGCGCACCGGCGGCAAAGCACCGCGCACCGGCAGCAAAGCACTGATAGGCTCATAAGCATCCTGGAGCGCCAAGCAGACGCTATCCAGGAGCTGGTAGCCATGCAGAAAGAGGAGCAGTACCGCAAACGCCACCCCCCGCACAGCCCTTGTCCCAAAACTCTTTCCGTTGTGCCCCACTGTCACCTCCAACCCACTTTCCCCAACTTCCGTGTTCTTCACGCCACCCGCTGCCTCCAACACCAGTATCTTCACCACCCAGCCTTGAAAACCACGACCCTTACCCTCTGCACTCAACCCCCATCACCATGCAGTATAGCTGTCCTGAAGTGCAGCACTCACTGCACAGCACACCAGACAGGACATATGCGAATCTGTGATTGTACCGTTCCCCACTCCACCCCCTTGTTTCTTTTCAATAAATAATTTTTTGTTCTTTTCAATAAATGGATTTTTTGGCTTTGAAAACATTCTTTATTATTGCATAAAGTAAAAGACTCCTTAGCCCAGGAAATAAACAGGCATTGCAAGTCTGCTTGTCTGCTTAGCAAACACTGATTACTAAAGATTGGAACTACTGCACTTCACTCCCATGCAGGGCACCAGATATCACTGCTGGTTTTCAGCCTCAAATTGCTCCCTTAAGGCATCCCTAATCCTTGCAGCCCCGCGCTGGGCCCCTGTAATCGCCCTGCTCTCTGGCTGTGCAAATTCAGCCTCCAGGTGTTGAACCTCAGAGGTCCATGCCTGAGTGAAGCTTTCACCCTTCCCTTCACAAATATTATGGAGGGCACAGCACGCGGATATAACCGCGGGGATGCTGTTTTCGGCCAAGTCCAGCTTCCCATATAGAGATCGCCAGCGGGCCTTTAAACGGCCAAAGGCACACTCCACAGTCATTCGGCACCGGCTCAGCCTGTAGTTGAACCGTTCCTTGCTGCTGTCAAGGCTCCCTATGTAGGGTTTCATGAGCCACGGCACTAACGGGTAAGCGGGATCTCTAAGGATCACAATGGGCATTTCAACTTCCCCTACCGTGATCTTCCGCTCTGGGGAAAAAAGTCCCGGCCTGCATCTTCCTGAACAGCCAAGTGTTCCGAAAGATGCGTGCGTCATGCACCTTTCCAGGCCAGCCTGTGTTAATGTCAATGAAACGCCCACGGTGATCCACAAGTGCCTGGAGAACCATAGAGAAATACCCCTTCCGATTAACGTACTCGGATCCTAGGTGGGGTGGTGCCAGAATAGGAATGTGCGTCCCATCTATCGCCCCTCCATAGTTAGGGAACCCCATTTGTGCAAAGCCATCCACTATTTCCTGCACGTTACCCAGAGTCACGGTTCTTCTGAGTAGGATGTGATTAATGGCCTTGCAAACTTGCATCAACACGATTCCAACGGTCAACTTTCCCACTCCAAACTGGTTTGCGACCGACCCGGTAGCTGTCTGGAGTTGCCAGCTTCCAGATTGCAATAGCCACCTGCTTCTCCACTGGCAGGGCAGCTCTCAATCTCGTGTCCTTGCGCCGCAGGGTGGGGGCAAGCTCCTCACACAGTCCCATGAAAGTGGCTTTTCTCATCCGAAAGTTCTGCAGCCACTGCTTGTCATCCTAGACTTCCATGACGATGTGATCCCACCACTCGGTGCTTGTTTCCCGAGCCCAAAAGCGGCGTTTACGGTGCTGAGCATGTCCGTGAATGCCACAAGCAATTTCGTGTCGTACGCATTATGCGGCTCAATAGCATCGTCGGACTCCTCACTCTCACTGTCACTTTGGATCTTAAGGAATAGTTTGACAGCCAAATGTGACGTGCTGGCGAGACTCATCAGCATACACCTCAGCAGTTCGGGCTCCATTTCCCACAGACAGATCGCGCTGCACAGAAACCGTTGAAAGATGGCGCCAAAGGTGGATGGAAACAAAGGGATTTCTGGGATGCGAAGCGATGCATCACGGGGCATTGGGACAGGACCCAAAATCCCCCACACCCACGCCCCCTTCCCACAACCCACGGCGCCAGAATGGGAAGAGGTGCTCTGTGGGATAGCTGCCCATAATGCACCGCTCCCAATAGCGCTGCAATTGCCGCAAATGTGACCACGACAGTGCGCTGGGCAGCTGTCAGTGTGGACAGACTGCAGCGCTTTCCCTACTCAGCTGCATGAAGTCAGGTTTAACTCACAGCACTGTACATCTGCAAGTGTAGCCAAGGCCTTGGATAGCGGTGTGTAACTCCTGATTCATTTTAGTGGGCACTTCAAGGGTAAAACTGGGCCCTTCTTAATTCTGTAAAGTGTTTTGAAGATGAAATGGTGTACCTAAGTGCTAATTACTATTATTGTAACAAAACTGTCGATTTGGAACCCTTAATTTATTGTTTTGCCATTGCTATAATTCTTTTCTATCTCTTACAGTTGGTGTAAATATGTCCCCCTCTTTATCTGGTAGTTTTAAACCTTTGCAGTTCTTTGATGCCAATGTGCAACTTCATGCTGATATCAACCCAAGGTGAGGAAAAGTAGGATATATATGTATATAAATATGATGGTATGCTCTAATTTTATTGGCAGGGATTTGGGATAGCTGAATTATTCACGAGGGTGAAGACATGTGTAAGTTATATAGGTCAATCCAAATAGGTGCTGTTAAACCTTTTATTCCATACTACATCATGTTCTATACTTGCCACATACATTACAGAGCATTTAAAAAAATATCCTGGAATTACGGTGTTTTGTGCCTACACTGCTGGGTGACTTAGTCATCATTAATCCAGCTGTACAGGCCTCAAAGCGAACCATATAAATATCTCTAAACAACACACAAAATAGCTTTTCTATGCCTAAAAAATGTCATGTTATCCCAGACCTTGCAGTGCTATCAGTGTGTGCTGGATCCAAATTGGGATTCTACCGCTTCCCATAAAGCTTCTATTTCTGCCCCTTCAGGGATGAGTGATATCAGATGTAAAGTCATGACATTTTACATAGAAAAAAGCTGCTACTGGTGCAACACTAAATATGGTCATCCTGGGCCTCAGGCTAGTGTAATTTTGGGGGGTGGGGAGGAGAAGAAATATTTGTGGAGCTAGTTGATTTTTTAAAAATAGCAGCTGTTTGAAAGAGCTCAGGGTGTTCTAATATTAGAATAAGAACTGGGGTGATGGATTAGAAATGAAGAGGGCAGATGAGGAGGTCTAACAGTCCATGTTAAATTAGCACATGACTCTGCAATTTGTCACACGGATCTCACCTCCACATATGTGGTATATCTCTTTGTCTGTCAATAGATTGATGGCCATTTTTCCTCTTATAGTCGCAAACTCTGATTTCCAAAAAAGATATTTATATACAGGGAATTCTACATTTCAAAGTGTGCTTTCTAAGTATATATTTATCAACGGATATGGTTATGCATGTTTGTATTTTCCCTCTCTTTCAGCATATACACGCATACAGTGGCAATGATGGGAATCAATACACAGTACTTTAAGAGTGGTCTTGAATTTCATGCCAAGTTCCGTGCCAACATCCCAATGAAATTTTATGCCAAAATAAACATGAAAGATAAAAGTTTGAAACAACTCCGTGCCACCAGGAAACTGAGCTAGTGACTGCAAGGTACAGCAGTGATATTTACTTTGTTTAGTTTTAACTAGGGTGAACAGATGTCCCGATTTTATAGGAACAGTCCTAATTCTTTGGGGCTTTTTTTTTTATATGGGGTCCTATTACGCCCTACCCCCTGTCCCGATTTTTCACACTTGCTGTCTGGTCACCTTAAGCCTGGTGTACGTTGGAGCAGCCTGCCTGAACACAATGTAGGCTCAAGGGCCATGACAGAGCTTTCTCAGGGGCCAATCCAAGACAGGGGAATAAAATTCCCCAGGAACTAAAGACCATCACAAACCTCAGCGTCTTCTGCTCCAAGTGCAAGTTACCTTTCTTTGACCTTGTCAGGAAGCAGGGGCTGCAGCAGAGTCGGTCTCCAGGAAAACTAACAAGCACAGCTGGCCTGTAGTATGCTGTCTGATTGGCTACTCCACCTGCTTGGTTGGAAGAGTCAACAAACCAGCTCTTAAGCCTGGTGGCTGCTCAAAGCAGTTGCTCATGGTGGTGATAGCTCTGCCTCACTCTAGCACCAGGTGCGAACAACAGCTTACCTTGGTATAAGTTATGTTGCTCAGGGGTGTGAATAAACCACCCCTTGAGCGATGTAAATTACACCAACCTAAGCGCTAGTGTAGACAGTGCTATGTCAGCAGGAAAGCGTCTCCTGCTGACATAGCTACCACCACTCACGGGGGCTGGAGTAATTAAGTTAACGGGAGAGCTCTGTCCTATTGGCTTAGAGCGTCTGCACTAACAGTGTTACAGCAGCCACTGTAAGCTCTGTAGTATAGCCATAGCCTAGGTAATTCAACTCTGACCCTTGGCTCTGATTCCTGACCTCTGACTCTGGGCTCTGACCCTGTGCTCCTTCCTGGCTCCTAATCACAAGGCATGAGTCCTGTTCCTACCACTAGGCACAACTGCCCATGTCCCAGTCTCTGACAGGCTTTGCCTTCTCTGACCTCTGACCTAAACATATAACAACATGTGTACATATACATTATAAAAAATAAATAAAAATCCAAAACAAGACAGCCCACTGCATGCACTTCTCCCCTTGGGGAGAAGATGAGAGAACAAATGGGCCAGATTTTAGCTGCATCACTTAATGCACTACTGGAAAGCGCGAAGATACTACAGTGAAATCTAAGAGCCTGAATAGAATAGAGTGTACAGAGCATCACAAGGGTCGGGGCAGAGCTAAGGAGAACTTTAAGTTAGTGGTTCTTAACCAGAAGTACGCTACCCCTGGGAGTATGCAGAGGTCTTCCAGGGGGGTACATCAACTCATCTAGATATTTGCCTACTTTTACAACAGACTACATAAAACTAGCAAAGTCAGTAAAAACTAAAATTTCATACAGACAATGACTTGTTTATACTGCTCTGTATACTATACACTGAAATGTAAGTACAATATTTATATTCCAGTTGATTTATTTTATAATTATATGGTCACAATTAGAAAGTCAGCAATTTTTCAGAAATAGTGTGCTGTGACATTTTGTATTTTTATGTCCGATTTTGTAACAAGTAGTTTTTAAGTGATGTGAAACTTGGGGGTATGCAAAACAAATCAGACTCCTGAAAGGGGTACAGTACTCTGGAAATGTTGAGAGCCCGCTGCTTTAAGTCACCTTTGCAGTGACCCCGGTTTTGCCCTCTGTGCACTTTGGCTGCACCCAAGCGTCTGACCTGAGATCCCTCCCCAGAAAAGCTTACAGCCTAACCATGCAAGTACAATAAGGAGCAGTAGCATAGCTAGCGGGGTGCAGGGGAAGCAGCCGCTTCCCCTGCCTTTCCAAAAGTGGCCGGAGGAGCGGGGGGAGGGGGCGTGGCATGCGGCCCGCAGCGCGGCCCGACAGCCGCAGCCGGAGGAGCGAGGGGGGGCGCAGGCTGGCGGCCCACAGCGCGGCCAGCAGCCATGGGGAGGGGCGGCGGGGGTGGCCGGAGGAGCAGGGGGGGCCGCAGGCTGGCGGCCCACAGCACGGCCGGAGGAGCGAGGGGGGCACAGCATGGCGGCCCGCAGCGCGGCCGGCAGCCAGGGGGGGGCGCGGAGCGGCCACAGGAGGAGCCAAGGGGGCGTGGCCAGAGGAGGAGCCAAGGGGGAGCACCTTTTTTATGTTTGCTCCCCCTCCTCTTAGAAGCTGGCTACGCCACTGGGGAGAGCAGTCTAAAAACAAGAAGACATGGACACATAGTCAGTGAGAGAGTGCTATAGCAAGGTAATGGAAAAGTGAGTTTGAAGGAAGACAGAGAATGTGGCTGGTGCACAGGAAAACAGAGACTACGCCCAGTGTAGGAGGCAGCCTAAAAGAAGGTGAAAACCAAAGATGGAAGGGTGCATTAAGAAGAAAAGGATGCAGAAGTCTAGAAGGCTGTGCAGGCTGAAGTAAAAGCAGAGGTGTAAACAGTCATGTAGTTGGGCACAACCTTGAATTTGATGCAGAAGGAAAGAGGAAACCAGTCTAGTGAATTGGAGTAGGGGTGGCATAATCAACTACTGAGAGGAAAATAGAGGATAAATGTTGATCCAATTATATTTAGACCTTCCCTGCCACTGAAAATAATGCATATTCTTTTTATTCACACAGGGTCTTTATTCTGCAAGATCTGAAACTTATCAAGAGTTTATCTTGAGGCATCTGAAGAAGTGGGTTTTTTACCCATGAAAGCTTATCCCCAAATAAATCTGTTAAGTCTTTAAGGTGCCACCAGACTCCTTGTTGATCAAGAGTTTATATTATCCTTAGAAAGAATTTCAGGCAGGAACATCAGCAGTAGGCAGAAGGTCAAACAATGTGAACATCATGGACCATTACAGTGAAATATTCAGTCTGCCATATGTGGAAAAGATAATATACAGCCTGAGAGGCAATGTGACTGGAGCAGCAGGAGAGGAATGAGAACTTAGCAAAGATATTTGGGAAGTACGGCAGTCCTCTTCCTCTGGTAGCTTTACATGGCTTTACTCCAATTAGAATGACATAATTCACAGAGGTGTTCTCTGTGCTGTGCACTACAATTAATCTCTCTGTTCGTTTGAATAGTTGGTGACATATACGGCATCACCCCCACTTGACTACCTTAGGGCTTTTCCTGTCATGGAGCACCACACAGAGACCACTCGTTCACGATGACGTACAAAGAAATAACTGACCACAACCCATCTGTTTTAGTCAGTGGTTCTTTGCTGATTTATCATAGCATGGATGATACCATGTGACTGTCTTGTCTCTACCCTATCCCCTAAAAAAGACGAAAGCTCCCAAAATACCACTACAGCTGCTCAGAATATTTTGTTTATCTGCTTGGATCTTTCATGTGATACAACTTGACCAGCTGTATGCTTCTCCTACTCAGCCATTGCCATGGCTAATTATTGTTCATACTGTTTTTATTACTGATACTAACCATTCATCAAGGGAAATCAGATCACTAAGGAAACATGGTTTAGTATTATCACTCCCGTGCTACATATGAGGACTCAGAACACAAAGGTTAAAAACTGAATCTCCAAAAATTACTCTGCAAGCCAGTTACAGGGGTAGGAGGAGAATCCAAAACTCCTAATTCTCAGCCCCAAACAACAGTGAAAACTGCCTCATTTTTTAGAAATTCTGTTCCCAACTATACCCATGCAACTGTATTGAAAAAAACTGGGTATAATTACATGGATAAAATTGAGAGCAGAATTTGGCCCCTCATATTTAACTGATCATTGGTCTAATTTATTCCTCTCCCTCATTCTGAAAACTGCCCCCAATTCCTTTGTAATAAGCCAAACTCCAGTAATGCAAAATGTCACTGGCATAACATGAAGCAGAGTCCAGAAAACCCTGGGACAGGTGCATTTCAGTATTTGATCCCTTTGAAGAAATGCAGCTCCTCTTGTAGTAAGGGAGTACACATGTTCTGAGTGCTACAAAGCTTCAAGTAAGGCCCAGTCCTGAGAATTTTGATATTATTAGGAGCTGGGTGAAACCTTGTTGTGCATTGAGTTAAAATTTGTGTGAACACACCCGACACTTAAGATAGTTGTAAGAGACAGTTAAAGGGCCACACCTAAAACAAGATCTAATAGCGTCTGCCCAGAAACTAGCACTAGCTAGTGGGTGGAGGGTTGCACTGGGTATTGGTATGAGCCGGTGTGTGAGAGAGAAGGCAGACTAGACAAAAACTGGGAGACGGAGGAACAGCCAAACAGCCAGAAGGAGCAGCTGAAAACACGGTGTCTGACCCAGGAAGGAACCTAAAGAGAGGTTTTTGGATCAGTGGTGCCGGTCGAATACAGTGTTCTTGGTGCTGTGAGCAAAAGAAGCCTCTTCCTGCTACTTGATTCCTTCTGTGTTCAGAGACAAAGCACTTTGTACATTCTTTGTAAATACACAAAACTGTATCAAAAGAAATACCTGACTGTCACCAATTTCTACTCCCAACTGGAACATCCCTAGGCCCCTAAGCATTGACTTAAGCCCCTAATGCATCCCTAGGCCCCTAATGCCATTCAGGTAGAAAAAAAAGAGCAGGATTGAGCCCTAACAGTCTCAGATTTCCACTGGGTCACTGGTGAAATTCTGGTGGTTGGCATAAACTGTTGGAATCCAGTTGATAAAACTGTACCAAATTCCCACAGTAAGTTAAACAATTTGATATGAATCAAATCATTTCCCCAGGTCTTTTAATAGTGTTGCAACTTCCTTTGTTATAATCTTGTGGAAGAAATAATCCAAGGCCAGATTTTCAAGTGCTCAGCATTCACAATGGGGGCCAGATTTTTTCATAAAAACTCAGCCCTGATGCTGATGGCCACATTTTTTAAAAAATTCAACATTCAGCCCAGATCGGTGGGTTTAAAGGGGTTGCACTAGTTGGAATTCCACCCTTTTTAAGCCATCTGGCATGCCAGTCTGGCTGACGTTCTTAGGCATACAGTATGTGTATAGACACAAGAAAAATAAAAGCCAAACTCCAGTAAACTGGAGTTGTAATGTAAATAATGCCACTAAATTCACCCACCCTGAAATTTACCCAGCTGCTTTGGGACCACCAAAGGTCCCTAATACAACAGAACCACTGTGGCTCCATTGGAGTGAACCTGCAAGGAGACTCTGAAAGCCTTGCATGTGGCAGCGATGGAATCCACACAAACCAGTGCGGATGTGCCTATGGAGAGTTGGGGGTGTAACCACTGGGTCCACAATCACATGCAGTGGCCACAAATCCTCATGCAAGGGATGCTTGGGGTTTGTAACCCCTATTTTTCAGCTCAGGGGCTGAAGAAGTGGCTGTTATTGCCCTCCCAATTCCTGCATTACTAAGGCTCTGTGGGCATAAGAGAGAGAATGTAATCATATGAACAGCCCAGATATAATGTTATAGTAGTAACAGATGTGTTTCAGGCGACTAGTAATAGAATATAGGTCTTTTATCTCTCATTTTCTAGGTCAAATCCATTCTAGTAGTGATTGGTGGTGGTAGCATCTAGTGGCTATGCTTTGGCCTGTACTAAAAATGGGTTTGGTGACTGCAATCCAGTTCCTAGTGAACTGGTCTCTCTGCCATAAAAAACTAAAACACTGCTACAACTGGCACCCTTGGGGGAAATGTCAAAAAAGAAGTCAAAGATCAAACAGGCATGGAGACTGTCCAACTCGCCATTCTGGAAGCCGGTCCTCCTGGTTAGCGACCCCTTGGTGAGGCAATGTCAGGACTGCTTTGCCATTGCCAGTGTTGCACCTTTTCTGTGGCAGAAAGGACTCCAAGAGCTATCAAGGAGACACCTTTTCATCAGCTCCACACATACACTATATAAGAAACAAAACCGTGTAGCAACCGAGCCTGAGCCACTTAGTTCGGGTTCAGATTTCTCCAAAGTTAAGGGATGCTCAGGTTCAGATTTTTAGTTCAGCTCATTATACAGAGCAAGGCCAATCACAAAGTTTGGGTATGGAGCGAGGCTAGTCTCAGAACTTACCTGCAGTTTGGGGGAATTCTTATCTGGGGATTTGGTTCAGGCCCATCTCTCATTATTATTTAACTTTTATACTGCAGTGGTACTTAAAGGCCACAAGCAGGTTGGACTCTGCTGTGCGAGGCAGTGCACGAGCATATTAATAAATGATAGTCCCAGCCCCCAAATTCTTAATATTTGAATTGTGTGTTGATGTTTCTGGCAGGATGATGCAAAAATCTAATGTCATATTGGTGGGAAAATGTGAAATAAATAATATGCATCTGCTTTCAAGCTTTACTGTATTACAACAATTGCAGTCAGTTGGTCTTCCTGTAATAAAGCCCAATTGGTTCTTACAGATAAGTGAATAATAACAGCATTTAGCTCCTATATAGCAATTTTTATCCACGTATCTCAAAGCAGTTTCAAAGTAGGGAAGGGTCAGTATCATCTCCATCACAGATGTGGAAACTGAGGAACAGAAAGGTGTAGTAACTTGTCCTATGTCACACAGCACGTCACTGGCAACGCTGGAAATAGAACCCAGTCCCTGATGCCCATTCGAGTATCCAATCCCATGGCCACACTAAGTCCCATCATTTTTTCCTGGACATTGGAATTTTTCATGTGTGTTTAGTAAACAGTTATCCATAGGAGCCACACAACAATGGATGCTTATTAGGTTTGCAAAACAGTGAAATTAAGGGCAGATTATGTGAATTAGATGGCTGACTCTGTTGGAATGCCTGCTTGAAGTAATCATGTTTTGAAAGAAATCTAATTAGGCTGATAGAACTTTAGATGTCCATCAGCAGCCCAGGGAATGTACCAATTCTGCCAGTATTCCAACATTTAACAACTACCATTATTCCCTCCTTGCCCCCCCCCACCTTTTTTTCCTTCTTTCCATTTGTCCTTTAAGGTGATGATGCTACATAGAAAAGATTTTGTATAGTGGTAGGTGACTAGTGTCTAATGCTGAGGTCTTGGCCAAATTCCGGGTTGGGTAATTACATTCTGCCTACCTTAATTTCCCCTGCAGCTCTAATGAGGTAAAGGTCTCTTCACAACTTGTCCTAAAACATTGTGTGGTATTGCTGTGGGCTGTTAAACAGTGAAGAATACCTTTTCCTATTGAAACTGCAAGGGACGTTTGGGTAGAGAGAAACCAATGACCAGAGCTGGAATTTGACCAAGACAGCAAGAATAGCTCTCCCACTCTTAGAAAAAGTGCCAATGAATCTGTAATGACTACACATGGCCAGACCCCCATTGGAAAGCATGTGCGGGATCAGAGCACAAGGTTGTCTGACCAACTTTGAATTTCAGAATATTTGCACCTTCGACAAATGACAAAGAGTCCTCTGGCACCTTATAGACTAACAGACATATTGGAGCATAAGCTTTCGTGGGTGAATACCCACTTCATCAGACGCATGAGTCAGCACAGAAGGCTGTGATACTGTAAGTCTGGAAGAGATTATCACAATTTTTTGTTTGTTTTGTTTTTGATGGAATTTATTAAGTTTAAAGTTGGTGAAAACAAAAAAGTTCCAGCAACTTCGTCAAAGTAGTATCTTTAAAAACGTCATTGAAAACAGAAAGCCAACCCTAGTTATACAAGTGAGTCAGACAGCGCATATTCAAGCTTCAGCACCTGGTTGTGCAAAAAAAAGTCCTCATAAAATGTTTAAACAAGTTTAACAGGCTCTTTGGTCCTGCCA